ACCTTCGCATTTATACGATTGCTCACATTAGATGACTTCTCCAATGTGGGCGGAATACCTCTATTATAACTACACATACTCTTAATATTAACTAAGAAAAAACACCATCGATATGGAAAAATAAACGCTCTTATTAAACAATTTATTAAAATAAAAATAATTTCTAAAACGATTTCAAAAATCTTTAACAATTAACCATAAGAAAGAGCACTTCAAATATCAAACTTTAGGCTCTTATAGACAAGAGCCTAATGTACTAAAAATATGTTTATAGACTTATCGAACCTTTTCAACATATTTTTAGAAGTATTTTGTATGAAAAACAGCACATATTGCTGAATATTTGTCAAGTTAGAAACAATAGCTTTAACATAACACATCTATCCATTCTCTCTATCTCAAGTCTAATTATTACAAAGCAAAAGATTACAAAAAAAATAAGCTTAAGATTGGTCACCTCACACCAATACAAATCCATATCAATCCCTCTTCAGCAGTTTTCTACTTTTCTTGAAGAACAAATTATCTTTAAGAAAATGCAATTGTTTTATATATGATTTAAATTCATTATTAGAATAAATAATAAAGAGTAAAAACTAAAAACTATCTAAGGACTAAGGATAACATCTGTTGGATACGCCGACAGATAAATCATACAATTCTGTGAACCGAAGCTTTATCAAGGAATCATTTGATCCACAAGTACGTTTCTGGTACAAAAATCGTTTGTAAACGAAATCAACCACTACTGTTTTGAAATTTAATATCTCCGCGGATTATAGAATTGATTCTTACGTTTGACTAGTTGTCTATATGCATCAGAATAAAGCTGAGGTCACTTGAAATGTGATTATAACTACGTCATCTTCTCAACAAATGAAATGTGTCTGAGAAACAGAATGTCGACTCTCCTTGGAAACGGACCTCTATCACATTTTTTTTAACTATTCGACTTAAAATGGATCATTTTAAGTATATTACGCTGAGAGATGCTACTATTCTATTCCTAAAATTTCTTTAACAATATGCTTTTCGATTAGTGGAATTTTTTTTATCTATGATCTCAGAGCTGTACTCCACTGGGAGCCAGTACCCTTTATATTTTCTATAATCATGTTTCTAATATTTTCTATAATAAAAAAATTTAAAATATAAAGCAATATTTTTTCTTTACATACGAGATCGTTTGGTCGCTTTTTATGAGCTGTCTTCTGTCCTAATGGCAGTTATAATTTCGATGTCTTGTAAAAACTTCAAGTTTTATCTATTGTTACATGCAGCTCAAAAGTTCAATCATGGTCGCAGTGCTCCACTCCGTTAGGAGTTAGAACCCCGTTCATTCCTATTCCTACATACCTCTGAATTTCGGCTATTGCTCTAGTTTGCCCTATCTTAGTTCACAGATCGACCATGAATATTTTTTTAAGCCATCAAATGCGAAACATTCTTCGTAAACATTCGTTTATAAACGCCTACATTATATTATGGATGGGTTCGATGTTATATTTCAGGATCGTTTCAAAAATTAATTTGCATTTTAACAAATTTCGTATATTTTGAAATAACAAACAGAATATTTTTATAATAAAATATTCTTTGTTCTATTACAAACTCTAAACTGCGATTTGCAAACAATTATTTGACATTATTACATACATATCCATTTTCTTGCTGTAATCACGGAAACGAACGCAGCTAATGCCTTCGCTACAACATCATCAAAGAACTTCCCGGGACTAATAAAATTATTTCTTATTAAAAATTTATTTATTTTTAACCACGTACTAATTATTCCAGATATTGTGTAATTACAAATATTCCTTTATACGTACCAAAGTCCAAAGTAAAAAATTTAATATTCCAAAATCCAAACTAATTTATAACATTCTGAAATATTTTTATTAATTATTTCCTCAAACTGCGCCCACTGTGCCGTGGGAAACAATCTCGGAAATCAGTAGCCGAACTAATTTTTTCGTGTCTATAGTCAAAAATAATTCGTTAAGAAAAGCGTACTCATGTTCGAAATAATTTCTATATCGTTTAGCAAATTCATTTGCTAATTTCGTTCTCTTTCATTTAGCATTTTTAATTTGAATCAATAGGTTCTCCCAAAATTCATCTCACAGCCTCTGTCTCATACAATGTTCCAGAGCAATTGGGGTATCCCGCATATGAGCAGTTCTCAGTCTAAGATTGGACGGCGCCGTGTTATTGTTTAAAATATCTTCGCTTTCGGAATGCGCACTACACACAGTTTTTGTGCGGAAACATTTTTAAAAAAATTTATTTTTCACTTAAAAAAATATACTTTAAATTAAATCCAAAAAAAAAAAAATTAATTTATACTTGAATTACTTTTATTCCACAAAAGTACAAATTAGTGCAATGCAAATGGAAATTTTACTTCTTCTCAATTGAAAAAAAAATTATAAAAATTCATAAACAAAGTGATTAGCTAAAATTGATCTCCATTACAAAACTAAAATGTAAAATGCAAAAAAGAAAAAATAATATATATAGTTTTTCAAAAATATTACATAAAAATTATTCAAAATTTTCCATTTATTTTTAAAAGTTTTCGTTTTTCTGGATTTTTATATATAAAACCCGTTAAATGTGATTTTAAGATAGAAGCTGCGGAATTAAAAAAATATTTAATAAAATAAAATTATTCCAGACTTCAAATGACTCTTTAATTCAATTAAATACAACTATGTTAATCAATCCAGCTCCGGCGATAAAAAACCTCTCCCACATTCAGCAAGAACTATCGCGGCTCAATTATATTCCGGATATGGCCATGTGCTAAACAGTTATTTATAACGCATAAACACAACAATCTTCAAAGTGTGTCCCAACTGCAGTTCTGGGTCCCACGACACTGATCATTTGTTTGCTAGCACCAAAACACATACAAATCTGAGTACTATCCATTTATTACTTCGTCCTATTGAAGTGCCAAGCTTCTCCACCAGTATTTAAACTGGTTCTTATACCTTATACCTTAACTCTCAATTTTTTTGACTGGGACCACAAATACTCTTTGGTTCTTATCTTATAAAACTGAAATAAATGGTTTTTAATTTTTTTTTAACAAGAATTCGTATATGAATATTCTATATGGTACATAATTTTTACACTCAGGTCAACATGGAACGAACCCTTCTTGGAACTGTTTTCTATAGCCAGCTTTGTTAAAAATGGCTTCAAATACTACTGTTTTTAATTACAGTTCCTTAGCAATGTTGTTAATGCTTACATGGTGGTCGTTTTAAGCACCGAAACTCAAGCTTTTTCGATAGTAAAATGATTAAGCTATTGGTATTACAATCTGTTTTAAGATTTAAGAAAAAACCTAATAGAATAGTAGGAAAAAATCCATGATATGAAAGAAAGAGTGTAAAGAAAAATTATTTGAAATTTCAAGTCAAGTCTTATGATTTGGAATATCTCGTATATGGAATATCTGACTTTCTTGATGGTAAATCAATATTTTACTAATGATTCTGCATAGAGTAAGTTATAAGATCTCTTTAGCGTACATAGTGTACATTGTGGAAAAACGTTGGATGTTTTTGGAGACCATTGCATACATCGCGGAAAATATCTACGCCCATTGCGTAGTGTATGTGGAAAGTTTCTCCATGCTTAATGAAGAAAACGAGAAAAGCTACAAAGCTATACTTATTATCATTAGGTGGGAAATATACCGCGAATTAGATGACCCCAATTATTTTAACTGATTATTGAGCTTTTAATGAGAGGAAGTGCTGTTACTCAGTTTTAGGAATTTATAGAGTTGTATGCAGACGTTAGAACATTTATTTCACAAAAATGACAATTACAGAAAGGCCTACTTTGTTGAGATGGTACCTCAGCTTGTAGTGCCATTTAAAATCGTTTTAATATTTAGATATTCTCTCTGGCTTATGTAAGAAATCTATTTAAAAATAACTAAGCAGATCTATATGAATATCTGATAAAAGTTATTTGATCATAGATTAATGTGTCAATTAAGTTAGATCATTTCCGATAGATTTCTGGAATAATTATATTATTATTTTTCTATACACTAATGCCTGTTATTTTTAATGTTTAATAAATAAATTATATATAAAATAAGTCACCCCTAACTGTTCTATTTTATGATATATTGTAATTAATTTTTATAATGAGAAGCTTTACTAAAGTTTTACGATTTATTCTGTATAATTGTTCCATTGTATACTTCAATAATTAAAGTTTTATTCTAAAACGCGCTCTCTTATTATATAAATGAGTCTTTTTAAAATTATGAACCTGTATTTTGTAGTAATACATCATTCGAAAAGATAAATTTCTTTCTATACACATTGGTAAACTAAATTTACCAGAGTCCTCTGATATATCGAGGTACACACCATCGTATGCTCTACCGCTTGTTCTAATAATTGTGTTTACTTATTTTACTTAAACTGTTATCTAATCTACCAGCGCCTTTGTATATATTAAGGTACTAACTACTGCTAATTTACGAGTATTCGTATATATCGAGATACGCGCTATCGCACACAGTTCCTATATTCCACCAGTTGTTCTAGCACTTGTTATCGCATGATAAACTAATATACTCGAGTCTTTGTATATATCTAGTACGTGTTATATTTATCTACTACTTTTCACTCCATTATAATCTGCAGACCTGCAGTAAAACCAGTAATATAGCATTAGCTCTTTCAATATATCCGTTTACTTATTAGAAAATTGATTTACAAATTCTTCCTCTGTCTCAAAACAATGTTCTCGTAGATGTAAATGGTCTATAATAAAACTTGCAATCTTAAAAGATTAAATCATTTTAGAAATAAATGGAAAATATATGTGTACCATAAGTAGTACAAAACAATCGTTTGTTAATACTTATGTTATATACATAATTTAATAGAATTATATATTGCAGATATAAAAATATACTAAACAAAACTGTAAATAACTTATTCAATAAAAGTTAATGATATTTTTACAACTTAATGAAAATGTGTGATACAACAGCCTTAATTTCTGCTAAGCAAACAGATCTCCACAACTGCTGGATTATATATAGTAGGCATTCCGATATTTTTTATTTATAATATACACAATATATTTAAAAAGATACTTTCCTAATCAGCATATCCTACTTTACTTTTGCAGCCAAAAATGATGGCAAGGAACGTCTCACCGTCACAGATGCCAAACCTATGATAACAAACGCCAATTTGCCTAATAGAAATTCACGCCTTAACCACGCTGACGAAGTTGAAACAGATGAAGATGAAAATGATGGCACTGATCAGTCTTTAGCCGAAATGCTGGACCCTGAGTTGCAGCCGGAACCACCCATACCAAATAATTCACAATCACAAGAGATATACCTCGAGCACCGACGTTTAGCCAAAGAATATTTACAAGTCGATACCAAACTATACTACGCGCAGGATTTTAAGGATAAGCTACTAATACAAATGCCGCCACAGGAAAGAGAACAGAAGCAGGAATTGCTTAAAAAAATGAGTGAAAAGGTAAGACGGTGTTAAAATACAGTGCTCTCTCAGAAATTTTTCTTCATTTTTTCTTTTTTGAGCGAACACTGTATATTATTATAAAGATTTATAAGTAAACTAAAAATCTATATTCTGTAGGAAGAACTCATGGAATTATATAACAATTTGAAACTGCAACTGGAGACAATGCGTGCTGGGCAAACCGATACTGTGGCTCCCACTCCGATTCCAAATCAACGTCAGATAAGTCAAAATGAGGTTGTTGCTGAGGATGGTTGGGTTGTGGTGCCACCGAATTCGCAGAATACATAAGGAAACCTAATTGGAGCTTAAGTATTCGGTTGAATTGCTGCATTCATTTATTTTGAAATGAACGTATATGTTTTCTTTTCCTTTTTAAGTTTAAGAAATCCCATTGAAAACTTTGTGTTTTTGATAGTCTTATATTCGTTGAAGATGTCTTGTCGGATATGAATGAAGAAATTGTACTTATAGTATAATATTTTGTGTGTGTGAAAAACAGTGTGATAGATTAAAGTTATGTGATTATCTTATAAATATAACCATAAATGTTTATTGTTAATCGATTTAAAGTATTTAAATAAAAACTAATATTATTAAATGAAACGTATTAAGTTCTTTTATTAAAAAATCACAAATTTTTTATGCTAAATATTTGCATGTATTTAAAAATATATTTATTTAAAAAAATCTATATTATTTAAAGATATTTATATAAATTTTCGTTTGCTTATGTTTATTCGTCTATAAATGCACATCTGGTTGAAAAACATAAATATATTAAAACAGAAAACATACAAAGTACTAGCTAAAAATCACTAAAATATTTAACTATTTATAATATTTACCTAACTTTCATTTAGTTTTAAAATCTCTATAAATAACTTGAACTCGATATCTTTCTATAGAAAGTTATTGTCTAAATTAAAATCTTTCAAGCACATAGAGTATAATAAGATTGCCAATGTTGTTATTGTTACTGTTATCCTTATGGTTGTTATTATAATTAATGTGACCTCTCATTGGACTCCACTAGTAACCGATGATAGCGGATAAAAAACCCCCAACGTCATATTAGGTAGATGTTAGCTGTGGGACGTGATGATAAAAGATGCTATTTCACAAATGAGGGATAAGATAATGTGGAAGAGATGATGATTGTAGTTATTGTACTTCACAGATGGAAGAAATTAATAATAGCTCTTAACTATAATGACTATTGATTGTTCCTGCATTTCTCAACAAGCTCAGTTATTATTTTTACAAAAGCGATGATGTAAATATTTGTTTCAAAATCTGTGGCAGTTTGCTTAGATCCATGCACACATAACTATGTCCAGCAGGCATTTGTATATTTATACTAAAAAAAATTAAAACACGATTAAAAATCAAGTAGTTTGTGACTCAAACAACACTTACTCTTCAGCTTCTTCAGCTAAGCTGCCAATGAATATGACATGTCCTTTAACTTTAGGTTCGCCGTTCATCAAAGCCTTTGCAAGATCTCTGGGTTGTATGCCATAACGTGATAAATTTGCATCGCTTAAAACAACCACAATAGAGTTATCATAATCTTCTTCTGTCAAACTATTAATGGCTTCCTTTGTGGCTTTTACCGTACTGTCACCAGACCAGCAAAATTGTGAATGTGCATGCATCATACGTATAGTCTCAAAGCGTTCTTTATCTGTTTTAGGCGCTTTGCCTGCATTTATGAATGGTATTTCCCAACCCTCGCCGCTATGGCCCACAACATCATAAACAATTTTCTTTTCAAAACCTTCAAACGCCTCCATAACCATAACAACAGCTTCAAGTTCACGATCAAGCCGACCATCGTAACTATTAAATCTAAAAATATATTAAGTATGAGTGAATAGAATATAAAGTTGTTAATTATATATATACACACACCTATACATAGAACCCGATACATCCACTACCAACTTCAACCGATTGGGTTTTTCCTGTACATGATCTGCCCAAGGATTTGCTTCACCTCTCTTGCGATATATATTCTTCTCACCGGTAATGCCTTCAATTAAGCGTGTGTCGTCTAACTCACCATGTGTCTGATATTTTTGCCACTGTCTTTCCTTGCTTTTCGTTTGCATAGCCTCCAAAACAGCTTTCAATTGTTGCACCTGCCTGCGATTGGGTTCACTGAACTGTGCGTATATTTTATGGTCATGTGCAGACATTTTTATTTCTTTTAATTTCTCCTCAAAGGCTTTACGATTCATTTCGCGTGCTGCTCGTTTAACTTCTTCCGGTATATCATCCTTTTCTTCATCCGACAACTGATGTACTTTGTGCCCGGCATCAAGTCGAAATGGTCCTCCCTTGCCACCTAAACCTGCAGTATCACGTCCACCGCTACCACCTGCCCAAGTGTTACCGCCAACATGCGGCGCATTCTTTGGATCTACTTTGCCATATTTCGGACCTTCATAAGGGAATGCCAGAATTTAGTCAAAAATGTATAAATATTTATATATATTTACAAAACTAACCTGAGACACCCAAACCACTTTTACGATTCACTGTCAACTGTATTTCTTTCTTCTTCCTCAAAGCAAATAACTCATTTCTCGCATAAGCTTCGATGTGTAAACCATGTTTAGCTAACACTTGTGTGACTTGCTCCAAAGCTTCTGGCTGATATTTATCAAAATCTAAAACATTTCCTATCAATTCCGACATTGGTTCATTAGGAAACTTCTCCAAATGCTTGACTATATTAACTACTTCACGCGTAGAGTACGGATAATTTAGCAAACCTTCATCAGCCATACTTCTCAGCTCACCAAAAGCATTTACCAGTGTAGCTAATGTTTTTCTAGGTACAGACGGACCATATTGCTGCAGCAAATAAATTTCAGAATCTGGTGAAGGATTATCTACAGCATGACAACTGAATACATCGCCCAGAGATGCAAAGAAATCATTTCCTAAGAATGGAAAACCTGGACGATTTGCCAAAACAATAACACGGAAATTAGGATGAGTTTCAATGATTTCTTGTGCTGCATTTTCAGCCCTCGCTGCTTCACCATCACCAGAAGCTACTATTTTACGTCCATCAGATAATGTCATTTCGCCATTTTCAACAAGTGTACGTAGTATGCAAGTAACATTAACTGGCGCTTTGTCTGCTTCATCTATGACTAGTATGTGACCACTTTTAACAGCCTTAACAAGTGGACTATCTTCGTAGACTACCTGACCACCACGTAGTGTAGACTGCACAGTTAAACTATGCACAGTCGTGTCACGATGTAATTGTAAATATTCACGCGGTTTATTCATTAATTGTAGCAACTTATCAATCAGTTTATTCTTGCCTACACCTTGGTTGCCTACCAGTAAAAGATGGTCACCAATCAAGAAGTCCTGCAATATAAGTACCAATTAACAAAAATTTTAATGTTTCTTATTAGGTTAAAACAACCTGCATTAGACGCTCTAAAAGCTCCACATGTTGTGGCATTTCATAGAAAAGTGTGCTTGGAACTTTAGTTTGCTCATCGGTTGCTATTAGCTTCATCTCTGTATCACCGATTTTCAATACGTCACCTGCAATCGAAATCGTACGTCGCGCACCACCTTGGCTTCTAGCTTGTATGATGCCAGCGTATTGTATAGCATCTTCTAGAGCAGCACGCGGTAAAGCAGGCATAAATTTGGCTAAAAATGTATTCTGTATGATGTCATAGTCTGAATTAAGTGGACTCGTTTTGTTATTGCTAGGATATGCAGCCATACGACGTGCTATTTTCAATAATTGACGTGTTGATAATGTCGCTGCCAAGCTCTCCAAGGTAGCATCAGTTGATTCACGTAAATTATGTGATAAATTAATTATTTTACTTATGCTATCGTCTACATTGCTGTAGAGTTTGTTAATTATTTCAAATTCTTCGGATTGTTTCAACGGTCGTACTTCCACAAATAAGAAAAGACTCAACATTTCAGGTGTTAGCCAATTTTGTTTAGGTGAATTGGGATTTGGTGGTTCTGCCAGAGCAATAAGACGAAAAGATTCATGTATTTTAAGTATGCCTTTTTCGGCTAATTGCAATTTTGTATTGCCTTGTTGGAGCAGTGCATCATAACGATCATGACTTAATAAAATTGTGCCATCACACAATTGCAGTTCACGATCGTGTACTAATCTGTGCAAATAAAAAATAACTTAATAAATTAATGACAGTAATTGGAAATTATACTCTTCTACCTTTGAAGAACAGTAGCTGTGCTCTTATGCAAATGATGTATACCATTTAATATTGCGACGGAACCATTTTTAGCAGCACGTACAAGTGGTGAATCTCGCCAAATAGTATCACCTTCAACTGTTGTAATGCGTTGTTGCACTAAATCACGAGATGTCATATCCTCATAGAGTACCATGGGCTCCACGCTTTGATTAAGTAGATGCAGTAGATGATTCGTAAGTGTGGACTTACCAACACCTTTCTGACCTATAATATAACATAGTTTAATGGTGTTTTTTAATAAGATAGTATGTGAAAGTACAAACCGATTAGACAAATATCACCCACAGCAAAACTTTGTATCATAGTAGCTAATATATTTCGTTGATGTGCTAAGTCAACAAAGTTTTTCGTTTTTTCTGCTGACGTGAGACGCTCGCCCCCAGCTATTTTTATTGCTACATTGTCAATATTAAATTGCACAATATTACTATCTTCAGCTACTTTTGTTGCATTAATTTTTTTAATCGGTTCTGCTGGTAAAGAATTTATTTCAAATGATGTTAACAGATCTTTTATACGAACAATCGCTTCTTTCTTTAATGTAGTTTGGTACGGATAAACATGTTTAATTGCATCATGTACACTGATCTTAGGGTTAGCGTTCTGAAAATAATTAGAAGTTTTATATAAATTCATATAATAAATTATTAACAGACGACTATATTGTAAGTTCTTAGAATAGAACATGAATATTTGAATAAAACACTACTACAACTACTATTATAAAAATAGTAGTTACGATTTAACAAATAATATACTACTATAATAATATAATATGTTATAAATATATAACAAATATACTATTATTTTATACTATATAAAAATATTATA